CTAACTAAAATATTAAACTTACACTTCCATACACAAGGCTAACTAAAATATTAAACTTACACTTCCATAAACAAGGCTAACTAAAATATTAAACTTACACTTCCATACACAAGGCTAACTAAAATATTAAACTTGGCACTTCCATACACAAGCTAACTAAAATATTAAACTTACACTTCCATACACAAGGCTAACTAAAATATTAAACTTACACTTCCATACACAAGGCTAACTAAAATATTAAACTTGCACTTCCATACACAAGCTAACTAAAATATTAAACTTACACTTCCATACACAAGGCTAACTAAAATATTAAACTTACACTTCCATAAACAAGGCTAACTAAAATATTAAACTTAACTTCCATATACTATTAGTATTATTCTTCTTGATTTCCTATATATTGAGCTACATTATTATTTTCTCTATTTCCCACTGCCTTTTGCAGATATTTAATTTTATTTCTATTGTTTATTTTATTTTATTTTTATCTTTTTAGAAATTAGTTAACAATTCTTATAACTATTGTCCCATACAAGTCTTTTATGAACTTTACACACCTCTTTAGTATAAAACTAAACACAGACAACTCTAGGTTATGATTAGTTAGCTCTCAAGGCCAACTCGTATTGAGCATCCAGTTTACGTGACATCGACTTCCAAGCCTATATATTCATCACATTCATAAAGCATAATCTTTTATTCTCCTGAAGAGGAATAGTCAACTATTCGAAAGCACTTGAGTTTTGGGTCTCGTTTTGAAAATATTACAAATTTTGTAGGTGATCTTGTGTGCTAACTACTTAAATATTTCGACACAGGGTTGGTTGATTTTACTGAGTCACATGACCTTCTGTACTTGTTTAAAGTTGACATCAATTTAATACTCATAACTCTCTATATATTGGGTATATCTTCACAAAATTGGCAGTTTTTCAGTTAATATTACAAGTCTTTCACATACAAAAGTCATTTCCTAGTGAAGTACTTTTAATAAAAATACTGTATGTGCTGTTTGGTGGGAATTTCCAAGAAATGAACATCAGCTTTGGCTTTTGTATATCAAACTGAAACATTATTGTACTTTCACTGTGTTGTTGGAGGTTTCAAAGACAACATACAAGAGAAAGAAAGAAATGATTCGCATGTTATGCTAAGCAAAGAGGAAAGTGATTTGCTGGGGTTGTTTTAATTTGCAAATTGCGATGTGAACCCAGATATTTTGTACCTTGTTATTACACAGTAATACTTTAGTGCTTGTGTTTGAGTATTTGCATCAGTGAACAGTAAGTGTCATTTAAGCAAAACTATGCTTCAACTAAACCTCTGTGATATTTTTGTAGTAATTCTTAATTGAATCAATATAGTCAAAATGCTTTGTCAAACTCAAAAATAATAAGATAAAAAGTTTCAGATTTTACTAGCATTTCAAGAATTGTAGTTTGGTGTAACACAGCAATTAACTTACAATTCTAGCAAATGTCCAGTACCAATAAGAACTAAGCTCCATTGTAAATCAAACAAATCATTTACTATTCACATTTTAATTTACATCAAGCGTAACACGTGGCTGATGAACATATTCGTTGGGTTCGACTTCAGACAAATTGCAAATTTATATCCAGGTTATGCAGTTGTAGATTAAGCACACAAGCTACTAACACGAGGAAACTTATGTTTGGAATAAAGAATTCAGTTAGAGAAAAAATTATTTCGCTTCACATCCTCCACATACAAAGGATAATAGTGTATGAATGAAATGAAGTAACTCTTAAATTGTGTTTGTCTGGCTAATGCACTGGATAGCTTTGTGGATAATTCAGATTCTCTGTGATCTTATAGGTGTAACAGGCTTGTTTCTGTTTAGTTGCCGACCCATGACAAATAGTATTTGTTTAAAATACCATGGAATCAGCATTCAGTGACAAATTTGCACAGGTTCTAACTTGAGGAAATTTACATGAGATTCATGGAAATAGAGTCAGAGTCCATAGAAAAGCCCCCCCCCCCCCAGTGGCACAGCGGTATGTCTGCGGACTTACAACTCTAGAAACCGGGTTTCGATACTCGTGGTGGGCAGAGCACAGATAGCCCATTGTGTAGCTTTGTGATTAATTCCAAACAAACAAACAATCCATAGAAAAAAATATAGATTTATTTTAAAGATATAGAAATAACACTTATAAAAATTATTGCTTATGAATTCTTAAAAACCACTCCTTCAGGACTGCCACTTAACTCTCCACAGAACTGATAACTATTACCTTAAGCCACTGGTAAAAAAGATTTTTGCATTTACCAAACCTTGAATATAACTCCCACACCTACACATATTAACATGTACTGTGCTAGTCAAAGAATTAATCAGCTTTAGACTATAGCCTTTCACCAATAGGAAGGTGACACATTCTGTATGCTCAGTGGATCCCATGAGCACCTCATGTATTAATAAAAACTCGTTCTTTCCACTTTACTGTTTAGCTTCAGACTTTTTTTTGTGTCTATTATTTTAAATGTCTTGTTTCAAACATTTAAATTAGAACTTCTGATTTTAATTTTTTATCTTTACTTATCGTAATTTGTTTTCTTCTCTTAATGATATATGATTTTGGGACACATGTTTAAGAGTCTATGACAGCAGTTCCCAACCTTTTCACCACCAAGGACCCCCTTTTATTATTATTTTTCCCCACGGACCCCATGTTTCTTGAAAGATTCCATCTACCCAACAAACTGTTTTTCTTACTAATAATTAACTTGTTTTTCCATTTTTCACTATCAAATAAAAGACATATAACTAAGTGTGCAGGTAAAAAAACTTGCTTATTTAACAAGATGGTATTATCTTCGTGGACCCCAAGGGGTTCGGGGACCACAGGTTGGGAATCAATGGTCTATGATATGGTTTTTTGACAGCACTATTCTCCATCATTTTTAATCCAGTGTTTGGATTTCAATAATTAATTTCAAATTTTATCATTCTGACAATGATCAAGGCCTATGTACCAAGAATAAAGCAGATAAAGATTAAAGAAACTAAAAAAAAATTAAAA